GGTCTAAAGGAGCAGGGGAAGTGGGAGAGGTAGGGGAAAGGAAAGAAGGGAAAAGAAAAATTGTGAGAAAAGGAAAAATGGAAACAAAGTCTTTGCAAATAGAGAAGGGTGGAGGGAATGAAGGGAGGGCAGGGGAAGGGGAAAAACTAAGAACCAAGATACATCATGTAAAGGTACAAGATCCCAATGATGAATGTAACTGTATTGTATACCTAAAATGTACCAATAAACTCAATGGAAAGAAAAAGGGATTTTGAGGGGCCAGTGGGATATAATTAGCACCCAGGAGAGAGGTCTATGGCTGCCTGGAGCCTGGACACTAAACTGTAGACAGGGAGCACAGGTAACCCCTAGACATACAGAAACACAAAGGAGGTTCAGAAACAGAGACCTAAGGGGACGCAGAAAGCACCTCCTGATTGATGGTTATATTACTTGTGTCTTCTCTTCTCTTTGGCCATCCTCTTTAGACTTGCTTTTTGGGCTGGGGATTTAGCTCAGTGGTGCCACACCTAGCTGGCAAGTGCAAGGTCCTGAGTTCAATTCTCAGTACCGGGAAAAAATTAAATAAAATAAACTTACTCTTTAAAATTAACGTGACTCTTCTTTCCATTTAGGGAAAGAAATCTTTTTTGGCACCAATTGAGCTCTCACAGAATGCTGCAGAAGCATCCTTTAGCATCTGTCTTTTTAGAAATTTGGAGAGATCACTATAAAAGCCTTGTTGCGGGGGGCTCTGGTGAAGTTCTACTTGGTTGTTCTTATCAGGGTGCTGGCTTTTTGAGGACTCATTAAGCTATGCATTTGCTTCCTGTGAGTTTCCATATAATTTATAATAATAAGGATTTTTAAAACAAGACGCTTTGAGTGCCTGCTTTATCTCCCAGGCTTGCCTGCTAATGGAGCATCTGAGTGACTAGCAGTGTGGGGGCATGTTGCCAAAGAGGGACATGACAAGGAGGAGCCAGGGGGGCAGTGAGACATCCACTAGGGCAGATTTTATAACCTTGGTAAAGCCCGGGACGACTCTCAACATAGGAAGCTGGGTTTGCTGGGGCTGCAGGGTGGAGGATGGAGACGGGAGAGAGGAGGGGAGGAGAGAAGGTGGGCAGGGAGCAAGGGTTTGCCTTTCAGCTGCAACATAAAACCTGAAAAGCCTTTCCTCTCCATAAATGAATGGATATAGACTCCGACTCTCCCACAGGAGAGGGGCGTTTCTTTATCACAGAAGGGCTTTTCTTTTCAGGAATGTGAGTCAGAATGCATTTCCAGAAAGAGCCACTAATCTTTGGGAGTGAGGCAGGGGGCGTGAGAAAGGTAGCTGGAGGGGAGGATTGATGGCCTGAGATGGCATGGAAGTTTATTACCTCCCCAAACAATATGCTCATGTTAGTCAATGAGCTCAGTTTCATGATGTAACCCAACCCACCCCTGCCCATGTGGAGATACGGATATAGATACATCATTTATTTTCCTCCCACTTCATCTTTTTCCTTTGTAAAGTAAGTGTCCAGAAGAGGCAAATCCACAGAGACAGAAAGCAGATGAGTGGCTGCCAAGGGCAGCAAGGAGGGAGAGTGGGGAGGGGCTGCTCATGGGTTCGAGTTGCTTTTTGGGGTGAAGATGTTGGGGAACTCGATAGTGGTGATGGCTGCAATACACTGTGACGGCACTGAATGCCACTTTTTAAAACGGTTACAATGGTGAACTTCATATTTTAGGTATTTTACCATAAAGTTTTTTAAAGTAAGTGCCCAAAGATGTTTTAGCCTGGGACAATGATGGAGATTGAAAAAAAAAAATCACTCAAGTCCACCTTTTCCCATGCATGAAATGGCAAAAACAAAGGCTCAAGTGTTGACCGAGAGTGGCCTGGCTGCTGGAACTTACTGGCACATGTCGCATCTGGCATGAGCGTGTGGCCGCTGAGACAGAAGCACTTGTAGCTGCCGTGTGTGTTCACACATCTGTGCTGGCATGGCCGGGGTTTGATTCCACACTCGTTCACATCTGTCGGGGTTGTTGGAAAATGGAGAAAGGTTAACCGGATGAGGAAGCATCTAGATGAGGAACCCTAGATGCCAATCTTAGAAAGGACAGCTGGGCTGGCTTCTCTGGAATCTGCTACCTAGTCACCTCTTGCACCACCATAAAGTGCCATCTCGAGGGACTGGTGAGGATGTGGAGCAGATGGAATGATCATTCAACATTGGAGGGAATGGAAATTGGTAGAAACACTTTGGAAAACTGGCAGAATCTACTAAAGTTAGAGACATACCCATGCCCTAGTGATTCTAGTCCTGGGTACATATGTTACAGAAATGTGGATTTGTGCTCACCAAAGACCAAAAACATCCACTGAAATGATCCTAATAGCACTAGTTTTAATATCTCCAAATGGGAATTAATGCAAATACTACCCAATAGGATAGATTAGTGCCTTGTATACACATGCAGCGGAATACTACATGGCAATGAGATGAGTCTCACAAACATGATATTGAGTGGAAGAAGTGGGGGACACATATGCTTACATACTGTGTTACTCTGTGATCCAAGAGGTCGAGAGATGCTTTGCTTGTTGGGGTGGAAGTGACTAGATGGGGCATGTGATTACTTGGGGAAGTGACTGTTGTGTTTGTACTGTTTTGATTTGTTCACCAGTTTACATGAATGTGTGAAAATTGAGTTATACACACTTTCTATATGCACAATTCTATGTGTATACTACTGGAATTTAAAAGTTAGAAATATACAATTTAGAAATTTCTGCCTCAAATGCTTTCCCAGACAGCCTGTGACAGACGCCAACAGCACAGCCTCCTTTCCATTGTTCTCTGGGTGGCTCTGGACTGGCCCAATTGTCCTGGCTCATATCATTCTAGAGACAGTCCTGTCAGACTGCTGGATGTCAAGAATGGAGGAGAAAACAGAGGACATTTACTCCCTTGTAAATATGTTCACAGGATGCTGTTAAGTGATAAGAGAAGTTCAGAAAGCTATTATATATAGATGGATCACAAATTTGTAAAACAATAAATAAATAAATAAAGTATAAGAAAAAAGGGAGGGTGTGCTCTCCATGCTAATCATGGTTGTCTTTAGGAGGTAAGATGTAGGGCAGCAGTCCCCAACCTTTTTGGCAACAGGAACCAGTTTTGTGGGAGACAATTTTTCCACGGACAGGGGTTGAGGTAGGATGGGGGTGGGTGGGTGGTTTTGGATGATTCAAAGGAACTCTCAACCCTAGATCCCTCACACGCACAGTTCTCTATAGGGTTTGCATTTCCATGGAAATCTAATTCGAGAGCTGATCTGACAGGAGGTGGAGCTCAGGTGGTGATGCCAGCCATGGGAAGTGGCTGTAAACACAGACAATGCTTTGCTGGCTCACTCAAGGTTTGCCTCCTGCTAGCTGGCCCTGTTCCTAACCAGCCTTGGACCAGTACCATGGACTGGTCAGTGGCCCAGGGGTTGGGAACTCCAGATGTAGGGTGTCTTTCTCCTCTGTGCTTTTCAGTTCTTTCTAAAAGACAGTTTAAACCCTGAGAATGGTAACATTTTTTTTTATTAAAATACAAACAAATAATACAGAAGGAAAGTGGGTAGAGGATCTTACTTTTGAATATATGGTCATGTGCGGGGGCCTCAAATCTTACATCGCCCAAGGAAAGACAAAACCACCACATTCCATGGAAGATGAAAATTCAGCATGGCCACAGTCACAACACTGTGCCTTTTGCTTCTGACGAAATCTCTATGTGGGGATTTTCTAGGCCCTCACTGGACCTTTGACACTCCCTTCTCCACTGCCTGTGCCCTCTGCCCTATCCTCTCCGTCACAAGACCCTAACAGCTTCAAGCAGGAGGGGAAGCTGGCAAATGCTGACCAGACCTAATGGCAAAGCCAGGAATACCCTACCCCTGGCTCCAACTTGTCCCTTGGAAGGAGGATTTGTGTGAGAGACATCAGTTGAGGGCTGAGGCCTGTTGCCCTGACTGGATATCTGTGGACTTTGATCAGGCTACAGTGGGGCAGGGAAGCTGTCAGGGAAAGACAGACAGCCCCAAACTTGAGCCAACTGGACCACTCCCTCAGTGCTAATGTTTTACTGGGACTTGAAAACTAGCATGAGAAATATGGTCTCTATTCCAAGTCTCTTGAGAAAATATCTTGGCACAGAATCTAGAACATATGGAAAACCGAATTTTATGCTGTGCAACCTGTGGTAAGGAATACAGCTGAGCTATCACTTAGGAGCACAGGATTCTTTTTGGATTTTATGAGACCTGTCTCACTATGTAGTCCAGGCTGGCCTGGAACTCCAGGCAATTCTCCTGCCTCAGCCTCCCGAGTGATGTGATGACAGGCGCATGCCACTAGGAGTGTGTGATTCTTTTTTTTTTTTTTTTGGTACCCGGGATCGAACTCTGGTCCTTGGGCTTGCACAGCAGGTGGTGAAACCTCTGAACTAAATCCCTGGTCCGAGTGTGTGATTCTTGATGCACCTCTCTCAGGCAGCTGGATGGAGATCTGAGAAGCACGTGTGGGGCCCTGGCCTGGACTCCATGCTGGCGGTGGGACACGAGAGACAGAGATCCCTCTCTGAGGCTGTAGGGCTGCTGGAGTGCAGAAAAGCTACTCCAGTGTGTGTAGCTGAGCTCTGGGATTGGCGGCCAGGAGCAGGAAGGGTAGAGTGCAGTGGATGTCTGCCTGTGGCTCAGTCTCCATCCTCCCTTCTATAACCCTGGCAGCAGTTCTTAAGGGCAGCTAGACTTGATTTGCTGCTCTTTGTTCAACTTTCTGATAGGATCAGGAGGAGTTTTTAATGTTGCAGGTTTGTTCATGCCAGGTTTCTCACCTTCCATTGATATTTGAGTCCAGAGCATTCTTTTTTTGTACAAGGGGCACTGGGGATTGAACCCAGAGACTTTGCACTATGCTATATCTCAAACCCTTTTTATTTTAAGACAGAGTCTTGCTAAATTGCCTAGGTTGGGCTTGAACTTGTGACCTTCCTGCTCAGACTCCCAGAACCCAGATCAGACCCTTCTTTGCTGGGGGCAGGGCTGTCCTGTGCATTGCAGGTTCTGTGTTTAGCAGGATCCCTGGTGTCCATCCACACCCAGTGTGACAATCAAAATTGTCTCCAGACATTGCCAAGGGTTCCCTGGGTGACTAAATCATCCCATTCAAAACTGCTGGTCTGTGGTACAGAACAGACCACTTGCTCCAATGAGGTATTTTTATTCACCATAGTGGCTCGCAAGACTGCTCAACCTCAGCACTTCCCACATTTGGATCTGATTGTTCTTCTTTGTGAGGAACTTTCCGGTGCACTGCAGGATGTTTCGTGACATCCCTGGGCTCTAAGCACTACACAGCTCCCTTCCAAATGTCTTCAGACACTCACCCTGGGGTAAGGCTCCCAGATTTGGCAAATGAAAATAAAGGATTCCCAGTTAAATTTGAATTTCAGACAAATGACTAATCCCATACGATATTTGGAACAAACATATACTATACAATTATTCATTGTTTATCTGAAATTTAAATTTATTTATTAAAATACAGTGGGCATCTGTATTTTATCTGGGGGACAAAATCAATGCAGGTTGCAAACCACTGTTCTAGGTGTTATAAATAAATACTTTAAGGCCTTCAGATAAAGAGCATAGGACAAATGTCACAAATGGTCCTTTAAAATATATCAGTTACAGCCGGGAGTGGTGGTGCATGCTATTATCTCAGCACTTGGGAGGCTGAGGCAGGAGGATTGCCTTGAGTTTGAGGCCAGCCTTGGCTACACAGTGAGTTCAAGGCCAGCCTGAACTACATAGCAAGACCCGTCTTGAAAAAAGAAAAAAAAGAAAAAGAAAAGTAGGAAAATATATCATATGAGCACCATTCAACCCAACAATTTCATTTTTAGATATTCATTCCACAAACGTACTCAAGAGTGCAAAGATATGAATAGAATGGTATTTGACTGAGCCCTGTTTGCAATGGCAGGAAATTGATGGTTGTGAAAAGATCTGTTTAGCACTGATGAAAGTGTTCACACCAGGGACAGGAGGCGGCCGTGGCAAGTACGAGGTAGCTCAGTGCTGACTAGGGAAGAGGCCTCCAAGAATATATGTGCCAGAGAAAAGGGCCCAAAAGATCCAGAACAAACTGCTAGCTAGGTTATAATAAGAATTAGGGATGGCCACTCTTACTTTATCATTTCTGTCCTTTTGCATTGTTGGATTTTTAAAAATAAAAAATGTACATTATTGGGTACTTTTAAAAGTCCTTTTACTGGGCACCTTGACAAAACCCAGAAGTTTTCCCTTTATCAAGAGAAGAGATTGGCTGAAAAATCTCATCCTGAAACCACGTTCACTTGAAGATTGGACTACAGCAACCTAAGAAATCCTGTGCGCCACATTTTGTCCCAAAGCCCACTGCGGTGCTGGAATCTGTGCTATGACCCCGGCCTGGTGCACTTACCTTGGCTGCAGGTTTTCCCAGTATATCCTGGAAAGCATCTACATTTATTCGGTCCCACACACTCGCCGAACTTGCACCCAGGTTCACAGGTGGCTGTGGAAGGAAAACGTGCTGACCATGAAAGCACGGAAGTGGTTGTTGCACAGAGACTGCCTCGGGGACACGTAGAGGATGCTCTGTCTGCTCTCCAGTCTGTGTTCACCTTTCAGACACTAGACAGGGTTTCTGTGACGCGATCATCCCTGCATGGCCACCCACCAGTGCCAATTGATTGTGCTCATTTGCTGAGCACCTTCCTGTCTTTTGTGGTGTGCAAAGAAATACAGAGCCTCCCAGGCCTCAGTCAGACAGTTCTGCCTGTCACCACAAGACATGTAACCAAAGAACGAGGAAGTGGACCCCGGTGGAACCCTGGGGCAAGTGCCAAAGTTCTTCTTTCCATCTCTTGCCAGATTTTCTCTCCTATTTTTCTTCTGAGTCATCAAACTCTTTTTAATGCTGTGCTTATCAGTCAACCTGAACAACCCACAGACTGGAGGCAGGGGGCGCTGCTTCCAGTCCTTAGGATGGGAACTCAAAGGATGCTGATGAGGACGATGATGGTACATACCATGAGGTGGCATGATAAGGGCAGAATTTGCTTTTTGTGTTATTCACCTCTGTAACCCAACACCTCACACAAAGTCGGCACTCAATCAATGTTTGTTTGATGCATAAAGTAGGAAGAGCAATAACCAGGAGAAAATGTAACTGATTGAGGTGGGGACAAGAAAAAAAAATAAGCCAGGTGTGGTGGCCCACACCTGTAATCCCAGCACTTGGGAGGCTGAGGCAGGAGGATTATCAGGAGTTGGAGGCCAGCCTGAGCTACACAGTGAGTTCAAGGGCAGCCTGAACTACATAGTGAGACACTGTCTCAAAAAACAAAAGAATACTGGGAGAAACAGGCTAGAAATAAATTGGGATATGAAGGCCTATAGAGTACTGGGAGGAATTGCTAGAGAATATTGGGGAAAAATGAGCTAGAGAGGATTGGGAATAAAGGCGTATAGAATACTAAGAGGTATGTTCTCAAGAAAAGAAAGGAACAGGAAGATGTAGTGAAAGATGACGGGTGTTTGAGTCCACCTCCCAGGAAAGAGATGAGGAGGAAAAAGCATTAGATAGGAAAAAAAGAGAGAGAGAATAAGGAAAGAAGTGCAGAAGGAGAAAAAATGATGAAAGAGAAAGGAGGCACAGAGAGTACTGCAGGCTCCCAGCAATTTCTGGATCTAGCAGCAGCTCAGGAAAGAGTCACCCAGCAGTTACCCAGGAGGGCTGCTCATGCTCTGCCCCTAATTTCCTGGCTCCGAGTAGGCCCACCTCTCAGCAAGCCTGTTCCTAAGATCCCACCATCTTTAAACCCAGACTCCATTTTTTGTTGTTGTTCGTGTCACCATCCTTTTCCCAGTTTCCTCTTCTCAGAATCTCAGCGGTTTTTTTCTTGCTCTCCAATCACTCAGTTATAACACTCTATCCCTGTTTCTACCACCAATTCAGCCTTGGAACAAATGTTTATCTAGTGAATGGAAAACATCTTGGCCCCCATTTCTGGGACATTAGGCTGAGCACTTCTCTCTCCTGTGACCAGTGCCTCAGTGCGGCAGGGTCTAACAGCCCAGGACCTTGTTTCCTGGCAGTCTGACTCCTGTGCAGTTACCACCCCGGAGCTTCGCTGGGACCATGAGGAAGCTCGGCTTCTCTTGCAACCCATCTCTGCCTATTTAGGGGCCTGGACAAATCATAACTGAGAAGGTAGGGAAAAAATGCTTCCACAACAAAGTTTTTCCACTTTTAGAGACAAAAGAAATAGACTCTTAATTTCTAGTGTCTATTTTATTATGGATGTGTACTTGGGGCTGCAGCTTTAAGTTTAGATGTTAGAAAAATAAATCCCTTATTTTTTTAAGCCCTGAAGACCTCTTATTGCTCCCTGGAAACTGACTTCCAGTGTGATCAGACAGGAAAGCCCAGGATAAATGCCAAATAGCACATAGGAGAAATGGTGAATAATACCCTTGCTCTAAGGTCAAATCTTCAGAAAGATGTTTTCAATTTACAGTAACTTTGGACCTGTGACTTGAACAGCCAATCCACAGCAGAGGGAATTTCAGTCTGGGTCCAAAATGGCCAGAGAGTGAAGTATGCCTTACATAAAGTACAACTCTTTTGTTCAATTCTCCCTGAATCTCCTCCATCTGTAGTTTTTCAATAGTGATTTGTTCACGGACAACTCTTTATTGCACCTCGATAATGTGACATACGTTTTAAGGTTAATGATACGGAGTTGATACAGACCCTGTCCTGGAGACAGATTTAGACAGGGCAGAGCCCAAGAGCTGGAAAACTCCAGCACACACAGAACCAGGGGCTTGAGGAAAACAGTGGGCGAGTAGACGGATAGAGGACAGGGCCTGTGTGGACTGGGATCTCCCAGCTGGGTCTGATTGAGCTTGTTTGGGCAGGTTGATGTGTATTCTCCTAACCTCGAAGCCCACACGCCTGGCGACTTAGAAATCCGAAACCCAGACTCAGGGAACAACCACCCCTGTTATTTGGTGCCTCAAGAAGCATATGACTTTAGCCAGGCATGATGGCACACACCTGTAATCTCAGCACTCTGGAGGCTGAGGCAGGAGGATCACTGTGAGTTCAAGGCCAGCCTGGGCTACATAGTGAGATTCTGTCTCAAAAACCAAGAAAGAGAGGGGCTGGGGATTTAGCTCAGTGGTTCCGGCACCTGCCTCGCAAACATAAGGTCCCAAGTTCGAGCCCCAGTACCAAAAAAAAAAAAAATCAAAGAGTAGATGTTAGATTTTAGGGCCTGGGATTTAGCTCTGTGGTTTCGCTGCCTGCTGCGCAAGTGCAAGGACCCGAGTTCGATCCCCGGTACCAAAACAAAACAAAAAACAAACAAACAAAAAAACCAAGAAAGAGAGAAAGAAAGAAAGAAAACAAAGAAACATACGACTTTCCCATCTAGAAGGACCATGCAAATTGAATAAAATATGACGCATACTTTAGATATAAAGTCATGCAATTTAAAACTTAAATATTTGACTGGGGCAGTAGACGTGCTGATGATCTTTTCACCTTGCAAAACTTGCATATTGAACATTGTGTTTAAACCCTCTACATCTGACCTTTCAAAGTCTCACTTCAAATTCTTTCGTGCCTGTGGATGTATACAGTCATGAAAGCATTGAGGATGTGATTGGCTATGCAGATGAGCCACGCTGCTCTGATCCAGTTAAAGAATAGCCCTTCCAGAAAGCCCCAGCTTGCCCTCATTTATGCACCAGCGATACACCAGGCCTTACGAGTTTTATGGCAGTAGGTATTGAGGTTTGTGCAACTGTAAGAGAGGTTCCAAATCATGTGTCTCACGTGGTTCTTACCCCTTTCTACCTGACTGACTTCAAATAAAAATATGTCATGTTGTCTAGAAAAAGAATAAAGCCAGATTTAATCCTCCCTTTACCTGGTACTCTAATGGACCAGAGTCTGTGATGAGAATCATTAGTCCCTTCTGAATCAATAGTAATTTATGAGGTATTTTCTACGTGTGCTGGGTAATAAGCACACTCTTTAACGCTTATATGCTGTACCCTCTGAAGTAGGTACTACTCTGTCCATGTGGCGGGGGCAAAATGGAGCTTTAGTGAGCTACCTACCTTGCCCAAGGTCATCCACCATCAGTCAGTCCAGTCAACAATGCCACTGATTGTGACACTATTGTACATCCAAACAAAGGGAGGATATATTCCCCATTTCATTGACACAGTTCCCAAGGGAATGGTCTAACTTTATCTGAATGGGTAATAGTGATATCCTTTTTTTTTTTTTTTTTTTTTTTTTTAGACAGGGCCTCACTAAGTCACTAACTTTCCCAGGCTGGGCTTGACATTACAATTCCCCCACCTCAGCCTCCCAGAGTGCTGGGATTACAGACATGCACCACCATGCCCAGCTAATCTTAATTTTTCTGGCATCTTCACACTCTTACCATCTCCTCACAAGGGAACTGTGGTGACAGAAGGTTTTGCATAGTACTGAGCATAAGGAAGGGGCATCAATGGCTTCCATTGTTTCATGGATTTCAGATATTATCTAGTTCTGCCTTCACCCATGACCAGTCCAGACAGTTTTGGACCAGCTAGGAGGAAGGTTGCTTCTAGCAAAAGAAGGTAGTATTTTTATTCCTCAAACTAGCTAGCATTTTCCTTCTATTCTCTCTCACTGAGGAGGATTCAAATTTGCATCCCTCCTAGATTTTACACTGTGACTGTTGGTCGTTACAGAAAGTCAGATAAAAAACAAAACAAGAGAGAACTCTATGCTCACCTGTCCTTTCCAAGCCTCTTGAAATTACTGGAAGCTGCTCTTAGAGTCCCAAGGCAGACGATGGTTTTAGTTTGCAATTTGTACAGAAGAATTGGAAAAATACTTAAAATCTTTCCCTATACGCATGTGTTTCTCACTATCATCTAGAAACTAGTCTTATGAACTTAAAAAATGTGAGTAGCCAATCCATAAGGTAAAAGCTTGCTTTTTCACAGCCAAAGCCTACTGGTTGGGTGATTAATGATTAAAATGTATAGTTCATCTGAAATTAGTTGAGAAAAACTATAATTAGGAGAAAGAATTAATTGGTTTGTTTTTGCTCATCTCAGTTTCTCTAGATTAAGAAAAACAAAGCCAAAACAACCAAATTATACTTACTAAGATCATAACAGAGATAAGTGACAAGACAGTCTCCTAAGATAAATCATGTCTACTGTGATGGTGTCAGCCACAGTCTCCAGAGTTATCCACAAATAAAACCCTAAGGGTCCTGGCCCAAGTCAGGGCTGCAAGGTGCTCCGAGTTTTTATGAAAATTACCTTCACAGACTCCCTTGCTGTTCCTTTTCCAGCCGTAGCAGCAGCCTAGTTTACTTCCATAGTGACAAAGCCCAGGCTGGTGCGCCAACACCGACAAGCCGTGATTCCTTGGACTGTGCAGAAAGAATCACACGTTAGTATTGAGAAAACAGCAATGGCAACGGAGACTCTGCCCTGTTATTACAGGAACTGGACAGGTGTCAAATACCTGGTTAATTTCAACAGACCTATGGAAAGTGCTAAATTCCATTTTGAAAGCCTGAATTGTGAAGCTGTCAGCCTCTGCGACCATGCCTTGCCAGTCTTCCTCAATAGTTTGTTCATTTCCTTTGCCCAGGGTTAAAACAATTGTGTTACATAACCAATAAAGCTGGGGCACATGAAGCCAGGCACGGTGATGCATGACTGTGATCCCTGCACTCTGAGAGGCTGAGGCAAGAGGATTGCAAGTTTTAGCCCAGCCTGATTAACTCAGCAATTTGGCAAGATCCTCTGTCAAGGCAAAAAGTAAAACAGGGCTGAGGATGTAGCTCAGTTCAAGGACCCTGGGTTCAATCGGCAGTATTACAAATAATAAAAAAAAAGGGCACATGAAAGTGACCCAAAATTTATATTTTTGAATCTGGTGACTTCCAGGCTGTGCGGCTTTGGCCGAGACAAGAGCTCCACACTTTACCTCACTGAGCAGACTGGAAGCACTGCACACTAGGGACCTTCCAGTGCGAAGCCCTCTCGTGTTCCACAGGGGGAAACCCGGCCCCATAGAGTGGAGTTGCAGCCAGCATGGCCAGCTGTTGGGGATTCCAGCCTGGGAGCCTTCTCCTCCCACACCACCTCCTGAAAACATAATTTGCTAAATAAACTCTATCAGGCAGGAGTCGGTAAACGTTTTCTGTAAGTGGCAAGATGGGTAAATATTTTAAGCTCTATTTTGTCCATGAGCAAAATCAGCCACAGGCAAGAGCAAGCCAATAAGCACAACGGTTCCAATAAAACTTTATTTATGGACACTGAAATGCGAATCTAATATGCTTTTCATATGTCGTGACATAGTGTTCTTTTGATTCATGACCAACCATTTAAAACTGTAAAAGCTGATCTTAGCTCACCGGCTGTGGAAAAATGGGGCCAGCCAGGTTTGGCCCGTGGTGGTAGCTTGCCCACAACCCCTGATCCAGAGGATTGAGGGAGGGAGCTCACGGGCCCCCAGCAAATGCCCTAAGTAGCAGCCAGGGATAAAACAGCTCACTGTCTTGGTGTTGGACCCAGTTGCTGGCACATTGGAAGCAAAGACTTGCCTTGTGTGTTTTATGGAGGGCTGCATTTGCTATTCCTCATGCATATTAAATACACTGCAAACATGGTTCATGGGCTCTTTGACAGACAAGGAATGCACATTTTACCACGTGCTTCCTGCAGCAGGACTGAACTCTATGCTAGTTAATAATATCTTAGCCAGGGTCAGGTAGTTAAATGACCTTGTAGGTTTCCCTCATGCTCAGCCTCTCCCACGAGCTTAGTTGCTCAGTTGAGAGCTGTAAACATATGGCTTGGGACGGTTCATTAACGGAGAGTACAAAATGCAAGGAGGAGTTTATTCTTTGCTTCTTGAAAAGCCCTTTTTCCATTTTAAAATGGAATTTGGAAGTATTGGCTCAAGTGCTCAGAACAGGGGTTCTCAAACTTTATAGAACATTTTGGCTAGATGATTCTTTGTCGTTGGGGGCTGTCTTGTGCATTGCAGGACATTTAGCAGCATCTCTGGCCTCTGTAGGTGCCAGTAGCACACACCTCTCCAGTTGTGACAATCAAAAATGTCTCTAGACATTGCCAAATGTCCTCTGGAAGGCAAGATCGTCTGCCATTAAGTACTATTACTTTAGAGTGAAAAATTATTGGGCATTTGCTGTGCTCTGAGCACTGACTTAGGTACACAGAACACGGTGATGAAAAGGAGTGGTCTTCACTGTCTTATGCTCACTTACCATCTCTTGTAAACAGATGCACTAAGGCATAGAACGGCATGGCAGGAGTCATTACAATGCTCTGTGCAGTTCTCCCCCGCCCAGTGTTGGGGATCAAACACAAAGCCTTGAGCATACTAGGCAAGCATTCCACCACTCAGCTGCATCCCCAGCCCTGAGAAGCTTTGACAGAGAAATAATGCAGCCATTTGTCATAATCAAATCCACATATTAGGTTAATTACACATGCCAGGTACTGTACTAGGCACTGAGACTGTAGGGGGTGTATGAGAAAGCCCCTGTCCACGAAGAACATAGATTTTAGGGGCAAAGATGGGTAAGTAAACATAATTATACTCCCAACATATGACCCCTACAAAAGGGATGAGTTCTCAGAGCTAGGGGAAGATACAAGAATTGCTACATTGGGATGGGTGTGTGAGGGGCTTTTTAGAGAAAGTGGGGCCCAATACAAACCTGGTAGCTGGTGGAAATTACCCAGGTGAAATGAGAGAAGGCTGCATGGTGGAGAAGATCTTCCAGGTGGAGAAAATAGGCGGTGTCAAGAGAAAATGGCCTGCAGCCACGAGGACATGAGCAGCTGGTGCCCTGCAAACTGGAATATCCACAGGGGGCAGTGTTTGGAGCAGAGGAGGGAAGGAGAAGCTAGAGGAATGGGGGGCACAGAAGGAGTAGGGAGGAAACCAGGAGTCAGGAAGAAAAGGCCCGTGTCCATGCAAACATTTTGTCCATCCTAAAGGCTCTGGAGAGTTATAGAAGGATTTCAAGCAGCGGGAAACATCAAAGGTTTTGCAATGTATGCAACGGCCTCTAGAGAAGTACTGTAAGCTCAATAAACTGAAACAAGATTGCTGAAATGGTTGCATGGGAAGTCACACAAAAACAAATGGAAATGTGTCAAAATACGATATTTTTTAAAAACCTAATTAGAAGCCAGCCCAGGGTCTCTGGTACAGGTGGCCAAACCTATTTCATATGTACTGGTCAAAACCAATTAGTTTGGATTGCAAAGAATACTGCCTGGGGTTAACTAACAGGAGAAAGTTACCAGAAGATGAAATTCATATACTGCTTTTCCATTACCACAGCTCTCCAGGGAAATCTTCTTTTTCTCCAGGCTTATTGCTTTCACATGCATGCCTTCAGGTGAAAAGGTGAAACCAGGAAATTTGAGGTATATTAATTTCTCCCGAGTCACCATTTTTGACATAGTATGGTGTCATTTATAAAGCTCTCCAAAGTGTTAATGACTAACATTTGGGCCATTGAAATCTTGTGAATAAAGTAAGATTTCTTATCCACACCTAGGAATCCCTTCCCAGATCACAACTGCAGCTTAATATTACGGCTTTGTTGGAAGACGTCAGCAATTTGTCATCAACTCTAGCCTTATTCTCATTTGTTTAAAAGGAGCAAACAATAGTTGCTTAAGGATCAACTCATGAGTGAGAACTATAAAATGGATCCTGATATTCAGACAACCACACAACTCAGAAAACACTGGTGCAGCCCTTGGCTGCTTTGGGGATGCAGTAACATGTTCTGAGCATATTTCCTAAAGGAGACCATGAAGCATGCGTCAATGCTGTAGGAAAAACCATCCAAGAAGCCTGTCTGTAAATGAGCAACATGCCTTTTAATTAAGGAGTGTGAGGGCTATGTATTCACTTCGTTTTGAGAGATAGCTTCAAAGAGCCAGCCACAACAGGGACTTTACTGGTTTAAATCATCAAAGGGCACATCTGGTCATGAAAATGGAAAAATAGTTTAAAGGGGAAAATCATTAGTAAGTAGAATTGCTAATAATTAACTTGATGATATGTAGATGCCAGAGGAACTGATTTATTACACCAAGAATCCAGTTCTGTGTTCTATGCTGCCAGTTTTAAAAAATATATACATATGCAGCTATTATAAATTATAGATAAAAAGAAAATCAATTATTAAAATATTTATGTTAAGGTGAAACAATATGATCCTGGGGAGGGAAGGAATGCAGCACAAAATAAGCAGCAATAGTAGAGCACATTATCTTGTAAAAATTTAAAAAATACTCCGCAAAAAGCTTTGACTTTTATCTCTATACAGAGTTTTCAAATGACAGTCCAAGTTAATGTTAGAAAATGAACTGTATTATTTTCCCAGCATCCTCTCCTTCTACCTGCCCTTTGCCATAATTCCATGTCCACTTACTAGCTTTCCCATCGCTAACTCAATAATTCTTCTACCTTAATACCTGGTTGTATTATAGACAATGAAATTTCCATTTTTGAAGTTAAAAATGACCAAATACTTGTGATTTCATATGTTACAACTTCATGAATGTGGAAGAGAAGGTTAAGTGCTCATGAAATCCATGTATAGGTTTACTGGGCACAAAACTACATTTCCCAGCTGCCTGCCAGTCAGGTAGGGTCACGTGACTGGTTTTGGATGGTAAAATGTGGTGAATGGGATTGGGGCAACTTTCAGGCCTGGCTCACAAAACTCCAATGGGATCCTCGATGTGCTCCTTTCCCATGAGCTCATGGAATAAAGAGGAGCTCTGGGACCTGGAGGAAGATGGCGTCCCAATCAGATGGAGGCTGGCCCCGGGTGAAGGCATGCAGCAAAGTCTTTCAAGCAGGTCTTCTACTGTGACACAGGCAAAGAAAGAACCTTCCTGTGGCTAGTCACTGCAATTTCCAGATGGTCTGAAGCAGTGGCCTACCCTGATCAACACAATAGTCCTCTCACTTCTTTTTTTTGGTACCGGGGATCGAACTCAGGACCTTGCACTAGCAAGGCAGGCAGCAGAACCACTGAGCTAAACCCCCGGCCCTGATCGACACAATAGTATTACAAAAACCAGTTCTTTCCCTAAAGTCAAGCACGTGTTGTTTTTCCTTTGTATGTAAATCCACTTGTATGTGTACAGAAAACTTATAAAGCTATCAATATGAATTGCATTTATTTCCAAATTTATGAGATGTGCAGATTTTAAAAACTTGGGCCAATACATTCTGGAATATCAAAGATAAACAGTTAAAGTTAAAGAAAAAACAGAGGCCATTTAAAAATTTTAAAAAAAGATAAACAGTTAAGGTATGGTGTCAATCACTGGTATTTCATAGATGTCTGAATAGAAA